CATTCTCAGGGAAGTACTATGAAATAATTGTAAATAAGTATAGCAGATATTTATATAAACAATTACCAGGAGAAGTGATTCCCTGATAAAACAACCCAGCATTAGTCATTCAAGGAAAGAAATGTTTTCCGTGTCTTCTGAAAATGCCTCAAACTGCTGCTCATGCTCTCTTGTTCTTGCTCTCTTTGGGTGGGTAGATGTGGGGAACCTGGGACCCTGGGGTACAGGAAGAGCAGGAGCTATGGAGGAGCGAGCCCACCTGGCACTCCTGGGGTGGGCATGGTACATTTTCTCAACTGCTGATAAATAGTCTGTACATTTTTTGACAGTCATGTAACTAAACCAGAGTATAACTGGTGCTTGGCAGGATTTTACCACTGTTGATATCTGTTGAGGCCCGGACAGTCTCTATGTCCTTAGCCTGTGAATCCTACCAGCCTTTCCTTCTGCATGTTCCTTTCTGACCTTCAAGTCCTTAGTGTGGCTTCCTGCAAACCCTACCCCTAGGGCAGAAAGTCTATATAGCCCTTTTTGCAAGTTAAGGGAGGGCACTCCACTGGACAGGTGAATTCCGGAAGGCACCCTCTTAGGCAGAACCGTTTAGAACAGAGCGCCCCCTCTGAACAGGCACACACAGCCCCTCGGGCCATGGCGTGACTCACTGGGACGGGCCTTGATTTCATTCAGTCCCTAGGTTCCCCTCATGTGGGCAAATGGCACAGTTTCATTCAGTGGTCCTGTGCCAGCGCCCTGAGAACAAACTAACAATGGGATTGTGCGTTCGTATCTTTCTCAACTTGAAGCTAAAACACACACGTTGCTGAGTCACATTCAGCTCATGTCCCATAGATACTTTCCCGCCATATCTTTTTGATTCTTTCTCTAAATGCCTTCTGTGTGGTTTTTCCCCCCCACTTTTGCTGCCCTGCAGATCCTTACTCAGCTCTGTCCAATATGTTTCCAGTCACCTCTTAATATATTCTGACATCTCATGTTATTTATTGCCACTCTTATTATCTTCAGACTGAATGAACAGGTGTGCCATCCAATATCCAGGAAAATACTGGATCACAGTTGGGCCCAAGTGGGAATGGCATATAGTATTCTCCATCTGGCTAACCCTGGCCTGATGCTTTGATAACTTCTAGATTTTCATTTGGCTGAAGTTGTCATCTGATTTTCTAAGTTGTTCAGTCCATAGCATCAGACATTGGGAAATTTTTAAGTAACTGGTAGTTGTCTTTAATATTTGGTCATGGATAAAGCAAACCTTTTGTGTTCTCTGTGGTTTGTTTACATTCAGCCTGCTTGTGTCCTGGGCATAACCCTTCCTGACAGTCCCTCTGCACACACCATACCTGCACTTCAGTCCCCCCTCACCATTACAGGCAAACCCTGCAGCCAGCTCAGGGCCACAGGCCTGGCGGCTCCTCGCCACTTTTCACTTTGTGTGTGTCCAGCACATCCTCAGAAGGTAGCAAAGGAAATGAGGCCAGTTTGGCTCCAAACCCTGTTTGTCCCTTTGTCTTTACACAGTGGGTTCAGACCCCGAGTTTGCACGCTATGTGGCAGGAGTGAGCCAAGCAATGCAGCAGAAGCGGCAAGTCCAACATGGTCGCCGCCCAGGCAACCCCCGGGGACACTGGCCACCCATGGATGATGCCCATCGGACCTGGCCTTTCCCAGAGTACTTCACAGAAGGGTGAGTACTTCACCGGGTGTGGTGGGAAAGCCAGGCTTGGGACCTGGGTGTCCTCCGTGGGCCTTTACATACTCGTACCAAGCAATTTGATTTCAAGCCTGCATGTGAGAGTGACACGTAGTCAAATCTTCAGGGCGTCAAGAGTTTTGTGATTGACCGTAGGATGCCAGGTGTCATGACGTGTCCCTGTGAACACACCATTGGTATAAATTGATTTTCAAGATAGACTCTGCTGCACTCGACAAGGATCTTGTTTGATAGTGTTTGTGAAGTAATTGCATGTTTAACATGGTCTTTATGCTGAAATGAGCGTGTCTATGAAACCCATGTGATTGATGGAATGTGACCCTTGTAGCCTACAAAAGTCAAAGGTACACAGTTCAGATTCCAATGTATGGAGAGACCTGTGGATTTTCATCATAAACACAACTTGGGATTGATTTTTCACATCTGGGCAGCTAAAGACCATCTCAACTTTTTGTTTGCCCTAAAGTGAATTTCATATAGAAACCACAGGCTTCTGAGAGGAGTAAAGGGCAGTGGTGCATATGTATTACTGCTGACCCTTGAACAACTCAGGGGTTAGGGGCATCAACCCACCGAGCAGTCGAAAATCCACCAACAACTTAAGTTGGCCCTGCACATACATGGATTCCCAGTTGTGGATCGAAAATACAATTGACCCTTTACCAACACAGGTTTGACCTTCGTACAAGAGACAAGAGACCACTTTTTGGTTGTGAGATGAGTACAGGGTAAAGACTGTTCTTTTAGGACTTGGGTGGGGGGTTGGGGATGGCCTTGGGGCTATCCAGCCAGTGGCCAGGCTGGCTCCAGGAGGCCTGGGATCAGCTTCTCTCCTTGGCTTTCAGGGATGGCCTGCACAGCGGCTGGTCGGGTACTCAGGGAGACTCGGCCAGCTCGAGTGACGAGACGTCCTCCGCCAATGGAGACAGCCTGTTCTCCATGTTTTCAGGGCCTGACCTCGTTGCTGCTGTCAAGCAGAGAAGGTATGAAGAGATTTCTAAATCAAATGATAGAGGGGCATGTGAATGTGCCCCACAGCTTATTCATAACTCTGGAAAGCTCGGGAGCCCCATCACTCCCAGTTGGTCTTGTCTGAGAAAGGCAGAGGCCTCTTTCTGCCCTGACTTGCTGAGGCCCCAGTGGGGCCACCACACAGGCTAATAGCCCAGGTGACTGAACATTGGGTTGAGGTTTGCTGGCAGAACAGTCTCATGCCAGTGGTAGCCAACAATGCCAGTATGACAGGCAGGCAAGGGAGGATTCTGAGACAGGGCCTGCTAGTGTTGGTCTGTGCCTTGCAGGAGGCAGCCCTTTCTGTGGGTGGAGCAGGACCAGGACAACCAAGCTCTAATCAGGACTCACCGACAGGCTTTGTAGCTCCGAACAAGGGCCTGGCTCAGACTGACCCTCAGTTCCTTTGTCAAAGGTGGAACTGGATAAAATGACCTCCGAATGGTATTTCAAAGTGGAAATAAATAGTAATATAGTATATTCAGATCTAAGAAGTTTTCAACAGTAGTCACAAAACTTAAAATGGGCCCTGCAATTAAGACAAGAATTTGGTTAGGAAGGAGTAGAGGCCCAGAGGTGGCAGTTTGAAGGATGTGGGCAGGAAGCAGCATTCCGGGCTGCCTGGGCATGAGGAGGATGCCCACGCATGCTATGGAGTGGAAAGGGAGGCCAGGGTACACAGTCCTCGTGTGACAGAGTCAGGCTTCGTTGGCTAAGCAGTGGGGAGCGGGTAGATGAAGACAGACTGGTACCTGAGTCAGGATGCACAGAGTAGTAACGGCGGTGATGGCAGTGATTGCTAATACCAGCTAGGGTGCTTTCTGTGTGCCAGGCCCTGGGCTAAGCAGTTACGTACATTTTCTCACTTAATTCTCACAACCACTGTATTTGCTAGGGCTACCATAACAAAGTACCACAGGCTGGCAGGGATTAAACAACAAAAATGTATTTCCTCACAGTCCTGGAGGCCAGAAGTCCAAGATCCCGCTGTTGGCAGGGTTGGTTCCCTCTGAGGCCTCGCTCTTCTTTGCTTACAGATGGCCATCTCTCTGTGTCCTCACGTGGTCTTCCCTCTGTGTGTGTCTATGTCCTAATCTTCTCTTCTTAGAAGGACACCAGTCATATAGGATTAGAGCCCACCCTAATGATTTCATTTTAACTTAATTACTTGTTTAAACACCTCTCTAAATACAGTCACCGCCTGAGGTACTGGGAAAAAGACTTCAGTATATAAATTTGGGGTCAACATATAAATTAGGGGGTGACACAATTCATCCCATAGCAAGCACCTTATTATATAAGTACTGTTTTATCCCCAGTTCACAGGTGAGGGAACTAAGGCTCAGAAAAGTTAGATTCATTCATTCATTCATTTATTCATTGGCAGCTATAATGTACCAGGCATTGGTGATATAGCAAAGTCCCCTTCCTTGTGGAATTTATATTCAATTGAGGGAAGGCAGATCAAAAAAGCAAAAAACAAACAAAAACAGATATGTCAGGTAGGGTTAGGTGCTGTGAAAAAAAAAATAAAGCAGGTATAAGGGGAGAGATTGCAGGGCACAGGTGAATTTTCTGTTTTCAGAATGGGAGCCAGGGAGGCCTCTGATGAGCAGGAAGCTGAACAAAATGAGGGAACAGCTGGTGAGGAATTGGCACTGGTGTATGTGTGAGAGAGAAGAATCAGGGATGGTACACAGTTTTGGGCCTGAGCATCAGTGTGAAAGAGGGTGCCATGAACCGAGACGGGGAGGCATGCAGGAGCAGCAGGGTGGAGCCAGGCGTGGAGTTTAAGACTTCTGTTTGAGACAAGGGAAATGGGAGAGGCTGAGAAGACATTTAAGAAGTCACCTGTAGCACCACCTCTGCAGCAACTGCTATCTGCATGCAGGAGCGCCGACAGACGGTTTACCTGGCTGTGAGCCAGCTACAGCCTGCCTTTTTCATTCAACATTATAACCAATTTTTTCATGTCAGTAGTAAAACTAACAGCTTGTAGATTTTTAGTCACATTCTCAGTGTGTGGTAAATAGTCACTATCTGTTGAATAAATTAACAAATGTCCAGAACTGGTGGATTCAGCAGTGGAAGCAGCCAGTGCCTGTCCTCATGCCTGCCACTCCTACCCCACCCCAGCCCTGTGATGGCTTGTGGGAGTGCACCATTCGACCGTCACCCACAGTAGCCCCTTGCACGCCTTGGACCCAAGGCCCCCCCACCTAGAACCAGCTCCCTGAGACACCAGAGCCAAGTGGCTAGGGTGCCCCCTGGGGGTAAGCTGGGCAGCAAGCCCAGCAACCACTGCACTGAGCTCTCGGTTCTTTCAGGAAACACAGCAGCGGAGAGCAGGAGACCAGCACACTGCCCTCACCACCTCTTCTTACCACAGTGGAGGACGTGAATCAGGTATCGTGGGTCTGCTCTGGCCGTGGACAGCTGGCTCTAGGGGATACAGATCATGAGCGAGGAGGTTTCAAAGCTTAAGTTTTAAGAGGGCCTTAGAGAAATAGGGCTTCTTTATTTAAGACATTTTTCCCCATGATTTTGTCTAAATGATTAGCCATCTCAGCTGAGAGTCCTATGCAGAAGCAGCTCTGGGACTGTGCTGTCCGATACGACAGCCACTAACCACGTGTGGCTACTGTATTGAACAGTGCAGACACAGAGCATTTCTGTCAATGCACGTTCTGTTGGACGGTGGTATTCCAGGGCTGTGGGGAAGGGGAGGACTCACCCTGTCTCCCAGGTCAGAACAGGGCCAGAGATCTGGGGAGGTGGGGAAAGACGATAAATCACCAGAAATGCCACTAAGAATCCTCTTTTGTCTCTCAGGATAACAAAACCAAAACATGGCCACCCAAAGCACCCTGGCAACACCCTTCCCCGCTGCCCAGCACACTGCCTAGCCCAAGTGCACCACTCTATGCAGTCGCCAGCCCTGGCAGCCAGTGGAACGACACCATGCAGATGCTGCAGTCCCCAGTGTGGGCTGCGACCAGCGATTGTAGCACCGCCTCCTTCGCCTACGTGCAGAGTCCACCGCAGGCCCCACCCCCACCAGCACACAAGGCAGCATCCAAGGGCTTCAAGGCCTTCCCCGGGAAGGCTGAGCGCAGGCCGGCCTACTTGCCCCAGTACTGACCCAGGTCAGCCCACCTGCCTGCCCAAAGCTTTTGGGGACAGTGACCCTACCCCAGGGCTGACTAGCTGGCACTAGCCCCCCAGAGGACCAGTGCACCCCTGTCCCAGGCAGGGATCCTTGGGCATGGGGGTGGTTGGCAGCTCTAAGTCTTTCAGGCCTGGCTTCTCACACTTTGGAGGCATCAGAGCCCTGAAGGGCCAGCTGCAGGCTGAGGTCTCTGACCCTCCTCAGGGAAATGCGGGGGATCTTCGAGCTTAATGAGCCCTTCTGGTGATTCTGATGCAGGTGGGCCACGGGCCACACTTTGAGAAACACAGCTCTCAAGTTTGTAGTCCCACTGTGTGTGTGTGCTGGGAAGGCATCAGACCTGAAGGCTGAGAGCAAAACTGACCATTCTTTTGAAACCTTCCCTTTCCCCCTCCTAAACACATTGAGTGATGACCACACCAATCACTGTATTTTATAGCTATTTTTCATATAGGTTTTTAGTTAAAACATCTCCTGCCTAAAATGCTTTGAGTATTTGGAGGTTAACAAATATAGCAGCTGGAGGTTTGTTCAACACTATTTTTTATTTAAGCTTATACAAAATAGACAACATATAGACTATTCGTGATCAGGAGCAATCACCTGGGTTTTCTGTGGGTGGGCAGCCCCTCAGCACCCCCGCAGCACCCAGGGGGTGCAGCCTTTACTGGATTTACAAAAGCAGGATCATAAAACTGATGTCAGAGGCATATTCATGATGGTGCATGGAAATGAGCCAGCTAGCTGCTGTCTGCGTGCAGGATAAAGCTATACCCGCTGCCCTCAGCTCCTTCCACATAGGGCCAGGGGCTTCAGCATGGTCTCAGAACTTCGGGGTGTGGTCAAGGGCTGCACAGAGACACCTGCACTTGGAACTGCAGTAACATTTATGAGCTGGCTCAAGACAAACCAGTTAAGATATAGGTAAGAATTTAAAGTATTTTCTTCAAAAGACAAAAAAGAAAAAGAAAACCACCTCATTTTTAGTTAGCATGTGCCATTAAATAGATAACATCCTGTGGATTTAGGGATATTTTCCAGCCAGAATGGATCCAGAAGAATTGAATGGTGCTTAAATTGAGAAATAATAATAAATATATCTATATAGAGTAGACATATCCCACTGTATATTAATTGAGGTTACAGAAGTTCTTTATATAAAACTTATTTAAATTTTTCATATTTCATCTTTGAAAAAGTCTAATTGAGAAAAATCCATAATATTTTCTGGTATGAAAGTTTGACAGTATTAATATTTTTTTTATATTTTCTTAAATCATTAAACCATTTTAATATATGTTAACTACTAATAAATGGTTTATTCTTTCTAACTCCATATAAGCTTTTCCAGCAAAGATTGTAATAACACATTTATGTTCTCATTTTTCTACGGACATAAGTAAATTTATATTTAAAAATACCAAAAAGAAAAAAAATATATATATATATGTATACACACTAATTATAAAGGACCCTTAGGGTGTCTGAGCCCAGCCATCTGAATTTTCAGTACTGTGTTGCCAGGCTGTTTCCAGGCCTCGGGTGTTGTCTTGTGCTGTGTGGGGATGCCATTGCTGCCTGTGCTTATGATCCTTTCACCGTGGGTTCTAAACATTCACCTCACCATGTTTACAGAGAACTATTTTGTACATAGACTTGTTCAGGCACGTGCTTTGCACCAACCCTGCGTGGCTCTTGTCCGTGTTCGATGTCACAGTGTGTGCACTAATCTCTGTTGAAGTTGTCCGTGGCTGTTTGACTTGTAAGATAGTTTTCTATTTCCTTCAGTAACGTGTTCACAGTACCCTGTATTTCCAGTTCTATTAGACTGAAGTACTCTTGTTTTAATAGTGCCTCCCCAAGACCTCACCCTGGTCAGAGGTCCGTCCTTGATGCCCCAGTGCAGCTGACATCAACATTGCTCATCGTCCCTTTCTAGTCTGTTTTTCTTAAGACGTTTTGTAATTGCATCTCCATGGGCTGTGAGACTGTGTGAAGTTGTTTGTGTGTGGTCTCCTGGTAGGTGCTGTGTTCTCAGTACCACCTTGCTCTGAACACTGGTAATTCCAGGTGCTGCGCTTGGCAATCGTCTCGCCAAAGCGCATGTGTGTGAGTGTGTGTGTCCGTTGCGTGGCCGGGCGTGGCTGCCTTGCTCAGGCATCAGCAGGACACCGTGTGAATAGTTACAACGCTTCCAAACTGGAACTATACGTTTTGTATCTTTTAAAGCTCCTATAAGTAAAATAACTATTGGCTTTATTAAAAATATACATTTAATAATATTTTGTATCTCTGTGTAAAATGAACTGCAACAGACACCATGTCTCTCAGAAGCCCTGCCTGATTCACTACTTTGAAAAGCTGCACCTGGGTGGGTTTCTCTGACTCTGAGAACTTGCAAGGGGAAAGACCACTGGGGGTATAGGATGAACCGGGATGGGTGGACAGGAAGCAAGACAACCTACACATCTCTCCTATTGGCTTCCCGAAGGCCAAAGCTCAGAGGCCCTGTGCAGGCAGAGCCAATGTCGTGGTGAAAGAGACCTCCTGGAAGGATGCAAGCTCTCTCCTTGGGTTGTGGTCTGCCAATACCCTCATTCCACCAAGTATGGGTGCTGTCAGCTGTCCAGGCAGCCTTTCCAAGGAGCAGACCCAGAGATGAGGTCTCCCACCACTCCACCAGGAACCCAATATGTGGCAGAGACCCTACCTCGGGGACAAAGACTAATCTCACTGGATGACACCATCCTGCTAGGCAGAAGGAAAGATTATACAATGGGAACCGCATAGGGTGAGTTACAAAGGAATTTCAATTCATTTTCATTTGAGCAAGAGAGAGCACTTGTTTGAAACTTTTTTTATGACCTTAGGAAAACAGTATGTGAACATTAATATATAACATATATATTAATAAGTACCATAAGTACTATATAGTAAGTACCATTCAGGCTTCTTTCTGCTGAGATGCCCAGAAGCAGAGCATGGGGACCAGGTCCAGAGCCTTCCAGGTGCACCTCAGGAAGGGTTGCTTAGTCATGTTGCATAAGTCTGTTAAGGAATACACTGAAAGTTCATATTAAGGTAGCTAACGGGGCAGCCAGTTAGCTCAGGTGGTTAGAGCGCAGGCTCATAACACCAAGGTTGCCGGTTCAATTCCCACATGGGCCAAGGAGCTGCACCCTCCACAACTAGATTGAAGACAGCTACTTGACTTGGAGCTGATGGGTCCTGGGAAAAAAAACAATGTTCCCCCAATAAAATTTCTTTAAAAAAAAACAACTATCTGGAAAACACATTTATCCAAGCGTGTTCCTATTTAACACACGTACCCAGTGCTGTTCACTGACCTGATTCGCAGTGGTGGAGACAGGAGTCCTGTAGCCCCAGCCTAAGTGCTAGATGGGTGGGGATGGAAGCTAGATGGATGGGGATGGAGGCCTGGGCCCAGCTGAGTAGAGAAGGACAAAGAGGCAGGTGAGGTCCTTGTGAGACTGTTGATACTCCTTTCACACTTGGGGGATCCTGGGATAGTGGGGTATCCAGCTCTAGGAGTGTAGCTGAAAGGCTGCATGCCAACTATGGCACTGGGAAGGGGTGACCCTCTGCACTGTGTGACCCCTGTTGTGATCTGCTCCCTGATCTGGAGACAAAGAGGAAGTAAACCATCCCAATGGCCAACTCCTTGACTGCCAAAAAGCCCTGTAAGTGGACAGCATGCTTGGCAGGCTCCCAACCACATGTGCCTGGGAGTCAAAGGAACCTCCAGGGGCAAGCTCCTGAAAGTAACACACGTAATTGGCCTTATGATTCTACAGGGTAGGCTGGCTGGGCCCAGGCTTCTGTTTGTCTATGAAGGGACTGGATGTGGCTTTTATTGGGACTGAGTTCAGGATATAGGCCTAGCTGAGGAGGAAGGATTGTTTCAGGAGTGTCATGTTCATTTCAAGATTTACTAATATTACCTAGGAGCAAGGCCCTTGCTAGGAGCCAGGGCTGCAAAGGAGATGCAGTTTTCAGCCTTTAAAACTCAGTCTTTTAGGGAAGACAACCCCATCTTTCCCATCCTTGGTAAGAGGTACCACCAGTTGCTCAAGCAGAAATCCTAGAGTACATCATTGATTTTCTTTCCTCGTTCAATTAATCAGGAAGTTTAAGTGTATCTCCACGCACATTTAAATTCCATGCTATTACATCTCCATTGCCGTCAACCTGGCCCTCATCTGGCTCCTGCCTCTTCCGCTCTGGCCTCAGGGTTTCCCATGCACCCCTGCTACCTCCACATCGGCTTATCGACATCTGCTTACCGGGTGCCCACCTGCCTGTTGCTCTCCGAGGCTGCTCCCTGTTTGGGTCTCTCCATCAGCTCTCTTGAGCTAGAACCCAGCCTCTACCCGGCGTTGTTTTTCATTACAGCAATTAGCACTCCCCTGGAATGTGTGTTTGCGTTTGTCACTCAGTAGAACCAAGGCTTCATGAGAGCAAGGAGCAGGTCTTATTCATGGCCACATAGCCAGGAGGCAGAACAGCGCGAACCAGCTGGGGCCAGAGGCAAATTCTAATACAGAGTAAAAAATAGAATGAGACTTAAAATGAAATCGCCTCTTATTTCGGACTCAATACATGATGACCAGAGTTTGTACTAGACTGCAAGGAGGGACTCACATTAGAAATTGCTCGTAGGACTACATAGCCTTTTAGTTAGTAAGCATAGAAATCTCTATCCTCGTGAAACCCACGAGAATATGTGCAGTGGGGACTTTTTAAAAAAAAGAACCTAAAATGGATTCACACGGAAAATCGAGGGGCAACATCTAGAACCTTCACGGCGACGCAGAACAAACTCGGGGCCTCCTGGGGGCGCTGGTGCCCCCTTGCGGACTGCTCCTCGCTTGCGCATGCGCACTCCCGTCCCCACGCAGAGTATGCGCACAAGTGCGCGCACGTTCATCCCAGACGTGCGGACGGAGGCGTTTGGGATTTCTCGCTGCAGCCCGGCTCCCGACTCGGCGCGGGGACATGCGCACACACGAGCACCGGACGTGCGCGCCCACACGCAGATGCGTGCGCTGCCCCGCCCCTCACATGCTCCGATCCCGCCTTCCCTGCGTGTAGACACGTGCGCACCGCCCCTCGGGAGAGTGGTTGCCAGTGCCCTGAGCTGCGCAGAGTTCCAGGGAGGCGCGGTCCCCGAGCCCTGGCCTGCTCACCGTGAGTCAGCATCCCCGGTGCGGGCGTCTCCCCGAACAACTAGAGAAAATCCATCGTTGTGGATCGCCCGACCTCCCGTGGGCTTCTTCGGCTCAGGCCCCAGAACTGCCCCACTCCGGTCCCTCTTCCCCCGCCCTTACCCCCTGATCCCCTGGTCTCCGACTCCTGCCTGGACAGGAGTCCAGTGGTCCAAAATTAAGGCCTGACTTACCAAAATGCTCATGCCTCAGTTTCCTGACTGTAGAACAGGGCTCTTGTTTGGAACTGTGCCCACCACAGGCTAAGTAAGTGCTAATTTCACAAATATTCAGTGGAAGCCAGTTGGTTTTCCAAGGCTGTGCTAGGCGCCAGAATTAACCTTTATCAAGAGTTACAACTGTCCCTGGACTCCCTAATTTGTCTCCGCAGTCAGGTCCACCCTCCAATCCACTCTCCCCGGGGCCAGGCTAGCTGAGAGCACGTGAAGGTGCCCAGCGCTGAAGCACGGTCTCTTGAACGTTCTGAGCCAGGTTTTCTTTCGGTTGTGGTTAGTCAGCCTCTGGTCTGGGCACATACGACCCCTCGGAGCTTCACTGCCCTCAGGATCCCCGGATTCTGAACCCTATGCTCAAGTTTGTAGACCGGGCTTGGGACAACATATGGTGCGGATTGTCGTGATGGTGGTAGAAAATGGTAGGTTTAACTTTGGTCAGAATATAAGATTACCTTACACTGATATATTTTTTTTAATTATAGATCCCACTTACAGATTCTCCAAGATTTTATGAGATGCCACCCTCACACTCAAGGGGTTAATCACTCTCCCGCGTACCACACTTTCCCTGGTGGGTTTCTGTCTACTGCCCTACACAGATCCTGAGACCTGGGTGCTAATGCAAGTGGCTGGCTTCTCCTAACTCTCTGCCTTTGCCATGCTGTTGTCCTTTGCGTCTTGAGACGCCATTCTTGGCCATTTCCACTTGTAAAATTCTACCCTGTCAATCAGAGACCTAACTGATGTTAAAAACTGAGATGATGGGGGAACAGCCAGGAAATGGCAGGCAGGACAGGGTTTGATGAGGACGAGTGCTCAAGATTCAGACCACCATGGGTTGATTTTTTACTTAGTTGCAGAGTGGCTGTTTTCAGATTTCTTAACCTCTCTGTTAAACGGGAAAGACAACAAGATCAACAATAGGGCTGCTGTGAGGACTGCTTATGAGAGAATTTAGCAGAGCTTTGCACACAGTAAACTGGCAGGAGAAGTAACCATGACATTTGGACGACAAATAGCTTTCAATGTATAACTATCTTCCTTGTTCTGCTTGCATTTTCTCTCCTTAGGTACTGTGTGTTAGGACCCTCCAGGTAGGAACTAGTTTTCTGCTAATGTAGAAAATCCATGTAATTTGGAATTTCAAAGTACAGTGTTAAACATAAACTACTATGGGGGGAAATCCAGAATAGTTGAAGCTGCTGGAAATCGAGGCCAAACTGCTGAAGGTGTACATTAAAGAACGTCAAAATAAAAATAAAACAAAACAAGAACGTCAAAAAGATGAAACCTTCAAACAGGCAATCATCAGAGGCTTCTGCAGTACCCTAAGCTGCTCCTTTGGGTTTTGAGTGGACAAAAGAAAATGTTGGAGAAGACACTAAAACATTTGGAAGGACAGAGTTGTAAATGACAGCTCAGCTCAAAACAACACCAACACTAAGAGAAATCACTGATTTGTGTATCAGCTGCAGACAGAGGTGGCCCAGCCCCAGGAACTTGGGCCCTGTGGGGTTCACTCTGGCATCTCTGGGGGTCATTCTCTCCATTGTTTTTCTTGAGACCAGGGACTGAACCTCAGGTTTGTCCTTGCAGAAAGGCAACTTAACACTGCAAAAAGCTGAGTATCTGCTGCTGGCAGCTGAGTCCCAGAAAGGGACCGTGTGTGGCTGACTGGCTGAGGTCATGTACACATCTCTGATGCCATCAAGGAGACAGAGAAAGAAACACACGGGTGGGAGGTAGTGGTTTTGGACAAAGACACAGGATGTCCACCATAGTCACAAAAAAGAGCCTACTAGAAAAAAGGAGTTAGTGGCTATCATTGGGCTAGAAGTCATCCAAGGAATCATAGGGCAAGTAGATGATGGTGCAGTTGCTACTGAGACTGGCCTTCCTATTGGATGAGGTTCTGTACTGAAACACAGGATTTAGGGGTAGGAGTGCTGTTCTGTGCAGACAAGTAACTGGCTTGGATGAAAAACTCTGGTTGGCATGTTTCTCAGGAACGCCAACAGAACAGATGCTGTTCAGCACTGTCACGGTTGCGCTAGGTATGGGAAGCACTGTTAAATCTCAGAGTTGATAGTTGACCCAAAATTCCTCTTAGTAAAAAAGGGCCGTGTGGACAGGGTTGTTCCCTGCAAAGTCCTATGACCACTCATTTCTTCGGTCTTCAGCCCCTCCCTATTTTCCTTCTTCATCTTTAGGACCCCAGTCAATCTGGGCAGGGAGAGAAAAGCCAATTGCAGAGGCCAGTGGCGGCATTGACTGCATAGAGATGGGAGGTGAGAAGGAGGAAGACTTAAGCTTAGGATTGCAACAGCACAGGGGAAACTCCTGGACGGCTGGCTTTTCTGGGGGAACAGGGGGATGGAGAAGCTCAATCTGAGTGCCCAGGTTTTGGACCTCTTCTCTCTGACTATCTTCATTCCCTCTCATCTAGAGTCTCACTCAAAAGCTATCTATTCACTGATGACTCCCAAGTTTTTCCTCCAGCTTGAACCTTTTCTCCAGATGTGAATACCCAACTGAACACCTCCACTTAGGTGTCTAATAGGTTTTGAAAATTTAACATATCCAAAAACAAGATCATGATCTTGCCTCAAAACTTGCATTTCTGTAAGATGAAATGACAATTCCATTTTTCTAGGAATTCAGTTAGAAAACTGGATGTCGCCCTTGACTGTTCTTTATCCCTCTCTAACCAGGAAATTGTCAATTCTTCACTCAAGATATATTCAGATCACCATGCCCAACTCATACTACCTTGACCCAAGTCACCTTCATCCCTGGCCTGCATTATTGCAGTAGCCTTCTATCTGTTGTCCTTACTTGCATTCCTGCTGCGTTGTCCATCCTTTGTAAAAGATGCCAGATGACGTCCCTCTGCTGCTTAGAACCCTTCAGTGGCTTTCCGTCTCTCTCAGAGTAAAAACCCAAGTTCTCACAATGGCTTACAAAGTCTATGTGATCTTGGTGCCTTCCTACCCTCTCTGACCTCACCTTCTATCATTCTCCTCTGCTTCACTCCACTCCAGCCATCTTGCCTCCTTCTGCTTCTGAAACACCTAAGCATGCTGCTCTCGGGAATTTTGCAGTTGTTCTTCCCTTTGCCTGAACACTTTCCCCCCAGATATCCCACTGGCTTGCTTCCTCACCTTCTTCAGGCTTTTGCTCAGATGCCACCTCATGAGTGAGTTTTCCCTTGACCATTCTATTCAAAATTGCAATCCCCATTCCCAGCACCCTTTCCAGCTTCCCTTTTCTCAGTAACACCAGCATCTGATATACCGTATATTTTGCTTATATATTTGCTTATGTATCTGCAGCATCTGGGATGCTACCTGTAACATGGAAGGTGTTTGAAGAAGTTGTGTTAAATGAATGAATGAACGAACGAATGAAGCAGACCGGGGCATGGGGAGCTCGGCCTCTGTCCCCCAGTCACTTCCAGGCAGAGGTTGCAGAGCAGCAGCATAAGTGGCTGCCTGTAGTAAGGAGACCCGTGGAGGACCCCAGAGCCCGACCGCAGACGAAGTCGCGGGGCGGGTGCTGAGGGCGGGGCGGGGCCGGACGGGAGGGGCGGGGCTGAGCGCCTGCGCCATAAAGACCGCAGCTCGGGGGGAGCTTGCTGCACGCCGGCGATACCTCTTCCTCCTCGCCTCACGACCCATCCCGTGCACGCTGCTGCTCTCGCCATGGCCGCGCTCACCAAAAATCCTCAGTTCCAGAAGCTGCAGGAATGGCATCGCGAGCACGGATCTGACCTCAACTTGCGCCGCCTTTTTGAAGCGGACAAGGAACGTTTCAATCACTTCAGGTGCGCGCGGGGCCAGAGACTGGCGGGACGTGCCAGCCGGGATTGGGGTGCCCCGGGCCTTAGCGTATTAGCTCAGGGTGTGCAGGGACAAAGCCGGGGGCCGAGCTGGAGGTCCCCAGGGGCCCCTGGCCACGGATCGGAATCAGGCCGCACTTCGTCCTTGACGCCTCCTTGAAGCAGGTTCCTGGGGACTTGCCGGGGGTCCGGGTCCGGGGCTGGCTGCTTAGTAAGAAGTGGGCCCTTTCACGGCTTTCCCTCCACGGAGACATGTCCCTCACCCTCCTCCGGTCTCCGCCCCTCAGCCCCCGCGGTTTGAGAATGGACTCCTTCCGCTGTTGTGCGGAGGGGCCCTCGCTGACGCAGCAGGCGGGGAAGGGCTGCCTCCTTCCACCCCCTCCCGGACGAGAATGGGCTTGGGACCGTGTGCGGGATGCGGTCAGAGTGGGGTAGACCCGGGGGATTTGCGGGGAGCTTAGTAGAGATGTGGGGGCATGATGCCTTCCGGCGACCTGTGAAGGACCAGGAAATGGAAAGGAGTCTGTTGGAGGAAGCCTTGGGGAGCGGGAATGGGGCCAAGCGTGCTCCGGGCACTGATGCAGGTGTTTTGGGGAGGAGAGGTCTGTGGCTCCGGACTGGAAGTCCCCGATAGCCAGCCCTGTCGTTTGGGTCCTTCCCTGAGTAAGTTGAACCGCAGAGTGGAAGCTCTGGGAGGAGGTGGTCACTGGGTTAGGCTGGGGCAGGGCACGCAGCTCTCTGTCTTCCCATCCCCCAGCTCAGGTTTAGCAGAGGAATGGCTCCTCACCCAGGGTCTGCCTCTCCATTCAGAGAATGGCCCTTTTCACTGTGCTGCTGCCGCTACAGGTCAGCCTGGTGGACAGGCAGGTGACAGACACCACCACTGTGCTGGGCAGCTGAGGCCTGTTTGGGGTGTGGCACAAGGAGGATTTTTGTTTTTTCCTGGAGGCTGGTCTGATCAAGGAGCAGACTGGGGGAACCTGAGGGTGTGGTCAATACTTCTGTCATCTTTCTGCAGCTTGACACTGAACACCAACCATGGGCGTATTCTGCTGGATTACTCCAAGAACCTTGTGACAGAGGGGGTGATGCAGATGCTGGTGGATCTGGTAATGTTCTATGGGCAGCTTCACCTGTGACCCAAGGTGTGGTGGGCAAGCTGGGCTCCTGGGCACCCCCGTGTCCTTGAGCATCTTTACTTCCTTCTCTCCGTGGACCTCAGTGACTGCCTGTGTGCCGGTGCAGGGCTCTGAGCTCCTGGCCCTGGCTCAGGTTCTGAGCTGACCCTTCCCCAGGCAGTGGGGGAGGGCGCCAGGCTGCAGCCATCTGTCATGCCTGCCCCGGGGCTGCACCAAGCCTTGTGCTTGGGAGCTTGGACTCTTGGTGGCCAGCGTGGGTGGGACCATGCTTCAGTGTCTTCTCTTCTCAGGCCAAGTCCAGGGGTGTGGAGGCCGCCCGGGAGCGCATGTTCAATGGCGAGAAGATCAATTTCACCGAGGTGAGCAGGACTCAGCTGGTCTTCCAGGGCCTCTTCCTTCCCTTTGGTGTTCATATGACCGTTAGCCTCACCATGTCTTCACTCCTCCTCTTAAGCAATGCTTTTGCTTAATGAGAGGCCTGAAGGCCTGTTTCCTCCAGTGGGTTGCAGGGCCTTGGGATGTGTCTTCCCCAAGATTGGCAGTCTGGATCTGGTGAACGTGGAGTGGCTCCCAGTGTCTGCCTAGGGAGAACACATCTCAAGCCTGCATGGAGAAAGCTTCTCAGGGCGGGTCGGGAGAACTTAACTCAGATCTAGCTTTGCTACAAGTTTTATTAATGAAAAAGAAGAATCTTCTGTCAGAAGATCAACCTTTTCAGTGGTTGGAGTCAGTAAGAAGCAGTGGTAAGGCCAGGCCTTGGGTGTTCCTGAATTGCTGTGGAAGCCTTGGAGGCACTATAATTACTGCACTCAGAGGAGCCTCCTCACAATGTTATTATCCTCCTTTTACATATGAGGAACCTGAGGCTCAGAGGTCCAAGATGTCCCATCTGTAAAAGGCAGAACCAGGATTCAAACCCAACCTGTCTTGCACTGCTGGGCTAGGCTGAGAGAGGCTGCAATCAAGGAGGGCTTCCTGCAGGAGTGCATTTGCCTATGGCATATGGGACAGGGGTGGGTTGGAGTCCTGAGACCATCCCTTTTCTGCCAAACCTGGCATCTTTAGACCTGTTTTCTGTCAAGGGCTCCTCTACCGGCTTCAGCTTGATGGGACTGTTGCTCTCACATGACAAGGCCAGCTGCCTGCCTGGCACCTGTCACAATCTTAGGGTCTGGTTTGTTTCTGGCAGTTGATGTGATGGGGGCCACTTGAGGAAAGCTTGAGTTGCCTGCTTTGCTCCACATCCCAGCAGCTGGGGGCACTTTTGAAAAGATGCCAGCAAACACCATGCACTCTCATCAGGAAGATGAGACTACTTTAGGCCTAACGAGGCCTGGTCCTCTGAAGCCATTTATTGCTTGTCTCGGACCTGGGTTGTTACCGCTCTCTACCTTTGTGCCTCTTTCCTTGGCTTTTCAGACCCTAAACACCTATCGGCCCTTGGGACCTATCGTAGGCTGATTCTGGTCTCCCTCCCCTTGGAACCGACCATCTGCAGCACATAAGGGAATGGCACATGCCTTGCCTTCCCCCTGGGCCCTGGGGTAGCCGCTCCTTCCAGAAGCACATAGTAGGTTCTCTGTCAGTAGGTACTGACAGAGACCTCAGGACTGGCATGTCCAGTGGGTAGGGGGTTGAGCTGACTGCACCATGCTCAGAGTGTGGCCGCCCTGGGGTGGGGATCTCCTCATTCCGACTCTTGTCCCCAGGATCGGGCAGTGCTGCACATTGCTCTGCGGAACCGGTCAAACACACCCATTCTAGTGGATGGCAAGGATGTGATGCCAGAGGTGAACAGGGTCCTGGAGAAAATGAAGTCTTTCTGCCAGGTAAGCAGCTGCTGGGCTGGACTTCCCTTTGGCCATATGTGTGCATGTATTTGGGGATTCTGGGGGCCTTGATGGGCCACCCCTCCACTTTCCTTGGAGAGGACTCAGGCCTTCAATGTAAGGTGGAGCGGGGGAGGCGGTGATCTGTGATTGTGGGCCCTTGGGAGGCTCTGCTAAGGCACGAGTTTTCCTGACCCTGTTCTGGCAGCAGTGGAGCAGCCCCCTTCCTGAACTATAGACTCCTGTGGGCTCACGGTGACAGTCTGGCCAGTAGCCGAGATCTGAAAAGTGAGGCCCCTAAGGGATGGGACAGTGGAGGCGAATCTTGCTTTTTCTAATCTCTTTAGTCATAACCCCTTACTGCCTAGTCTAGAACTAGATAAAATACGTGTTTTAAAGTTTCCTTGACCACACCCCCAAACAACTCTCCACAGGCTTCCTTTGTATGTACTAGCATACACATACATCTGTCATCTCCTTTTTGGAATATACACATGCCCATGTGTATACACACACACAAACACAAACACACACGGGTTCATTTTTACCCACTCTTCTGCAGCTTATTTGTACTTACAAATATATAGAAGAGTTGTCCCTCTGTCGGTGTCAGTGCGCATAACTTTCCTGTGTGGGGGTGTAGGGGTTTAGCCTCAGAGACCAGCTAGAGGTTTCCCCACATCAACCGCTGTTGCCCCATTTCTATCCCGGGGGGATTCTGCAATGGGCAGCGGACGGCCTTGAGCCTAGAGCACAAGGGTGGTTTCTGTGGGTTGGTTTGTCCGTGTGGGTGTGTGCACATCTGTATGCATGGGTTATGTGTGCTCTGGGAGTGATAATCTGGGCTCTGGTCAGCTTGTGCCTGAGAGCAGTGGCCCCCATGTGTGGCTGGTCAAAGTCCGGTTGCTTTGGCTCAGAGCCATTTTCAGACCTGAAATGGCAGGAAGTGATCTGGTCTGGCAGCGGAGGGAGTGGGACTTCCCAGGGTGAGGAAGGCTTGGGATCCTGATGGGAACCTGGAGTCCAGATGCCCCTTAACAGTGACTGGTACATGTGATGGGCCTTGGGGGGGAGGGGGTGCATTTCCAGCCATCTGCTGTGAGTGATGGGCAGAGCTGACGTGCCTCGGAAGCCTGGTGCTCTGTTGGATCAACCCTTGTGTGCTTGGGCACGCCGCTTGGAGAGTGTGCCACTGGCCTTTGGGGAACTGTTTCCAGGAAAGCCTTCCCTTACGGCTGGCTGCTGGAGTACCTGACTCAGACAGATGGGATATTTATAGTTCAAGAGAGCTGCTGAATGGCAGCAATTCCGTGGTGAGGAACAGTCCCCATGGCTGTACTCTTTTGGTTTTTTTCTTTTTTTAGCTGAGCCATCCTGCCACCTGTTGGCAGCTCAGCGGCAACTCAGCTCGGGCTGGGAATCGAACCGCTATTGCTCAGAGCTCAAACTCTTGAGCGAGCTCTTAACCAACTGAGCCACTTGGCCGGCCCCCCATGGCTGTACTCTTAAAAGTTCTCCAAGATTAGGGGAGGATGTTTGCCGTGACCTTGGTTGTAGTGGCAAAAACCGAAACAACCTGAGCTTATTTATCAGAGGGGACTGATCAGTAAAAATCAGTATATGTTCATATACTGTAGTCCCGAGCATCATTAGGAATTAGGGAACTACAGGTTGCATCGACCTGCCATGCTGTTCAGGATATACTATGAAGTTAAAAAAGGAAGTTACAGAATTGGCCTGTGTCGTAAAACAGTGACCATCTGTTCAAATAAAGTGTGTGTGTGTGTGTGTGTGTGTGTGTGTATGTGTGTGTTACGTTAAAGATATATACATTTCCCCCTCTGAGATGCTTTATTATATTAACATTTTAATGGTGAGATTGAGGGTTGAGGAGATGGGCAACTTATTTCCTTTCTGAATTGATGGAAAATCTTCCATAGGCTGATTGCTTTCTTACTTAAAGCAAAAATAAAAGTTGCTGGGTCTTCAAATGACTCCGAAACTTAGCAGCTGAAAACAACCACCGCCATCTCTGTGGGTCAGGAATTTGCAATTATCTGTGCTGGCTGGCTCTGCCTCAGGTCTCACTGAGGCAGCGGTTCTCAACCTTCCTAATGCCGCGACCCCTTAATACAGTTCCTCATGTTGTGGTGACCCCCAACCATAAAATTATTTTCATGGCTACTCTATAACTGTAATTTTGCTACTGTTATGAATCGTAATGTAAGTATCTTTTTGTTTTCCGATGGTCTTAGGCGACCCCTGTGAAAGGGTCGTTCGACCCCCAAAGGGGTCGCGACCTACAGGTTGAGAACCGCTGCATTAAGGGGTTGTAGTCAAGATGTTGGCCCAAGGTGACACTCATCTGAAGGCTTGATGGGAGCTGCAGGATCTGTTTCCAAGGGGCTCACTAACAGTTAGTGCGGGCTTTTGGGAGCCCTCCATTCCTACCCGGTGGGCCTCCCCACAGGCTATTTGAATGTCCTCATGACAAGGCAGCTGGTTTTTCTCTGAGTAAGTTATCCAAACAGAGAAAGGCAGAGTGCCTCCAGGTCTTTTATGAGCTAGCACCAGAAATCACACTCTTTGATTTCTGTAATACCCATTGGTTTTACAAGTAGGCTCTGACCAGAGTGAGAGGGGACTACAGAAGGACATGAATGCAGTGCCGGGAGGTGAGGATCATTGGGAACCATCTTGGAAGGTGGCTACCATAGTCTGCCCCCTGGCTCCCAATGATTCGTCGTGTTCCTTCTGCATACAGCATACCCCACTGACCTTCTCCTAAGGTGCTATCCCATTGCAGTATCAGCTAGAAGTCAACCTCATCATCTAAATTAGGTACAGGGATAGTTGTACCTGCATTCCCTTTAATACAACTCAAATACAGTTCCTTTTTTTATATACATTTTATTGGGAAACAATGTGTTTCTCCTGGACCCATCAGCTCCAAGTTGTCTCCAATGTAGCTGTGGAGGGCACAGCTCAGCTCCAAGGCAAGTTGTCTTCAATCTAGTTGTGGAGAGTGCAGTTCACTGGCCCATGTGGGAATTGAACCAGCAACCCTGGTGTTATGAGCACTTCGCTCTAACCAACTGAGCCAACTGGCCGCCCAAATACAGTTCCTTTTGATCTGAGGACACGAGGACATGTGAATTAAAGAGATAAGTTATTTACCACTCACACACCCAACATACAATGGTGGAATAGGCACAGGTTAGCTGATACAGAATAATTCCTTTTCAGAAAGGGGAAAAATGGGAGGCACACAGGATCCACTGGCCCGAAGCAATTCTGAAATCCAGCAGGACCCATGTTGTCAGTTGCTTGGTTAGCCCTGGGAATCATTCCTCAGGGCTTCTGGCGTTGCCTTCATTCATGCTTTTTACATGAAGGGTAGCCTTTCTTGTAACTGCATAGTTTTCCCAGCCTGCTACTGCCTATAGAAATGTGGGTATCAAAAGTCTTCTTTTCTCTATGTACCATCTCTGTCCCTTTTATTCCAAGCCGGTGGTGTTTCTGACAATGCAGTTATCTTAAAAAAATTTGTGGGCCTCCTATGAAGCTTATTGGGGAGAGGGATTCACTCCATTAGACAAAAGCCATACCCACAAAGTTCTTCGAAATAAGTCCCTTTCTACCACTGCTTCTGGGACCACAGAGACAGTACCCTTGAGCTTCTTAGAAGCCTTAAAGGGTCTCTGAGTTACCACCTTAGCTCTTTCACAGGTCTTAACAAAGGATTTTGCAGCTACTCTCAACTTTATCTTTTTACTATGCTTTTGTGACAGTGCCCTGCATTTGAGCTTTGCCAAGGCTTAGCTCTTAATTTTAGTATCACTTGTTGCCTGGAGAGGCTGGGAATTTTCAAACCCAGCAATTCCTGGCTTCCTTTTGTTTAAAAGTTTTTGCTTTAACTTATTTCTCTCCTCTTACATTTTACTGTAAGCATTGAAAAGCCCGGCAGTTGCTTTGACCCAGTGAAAACCTCTGTAGCTAAATTATCCAGATCATAATAAGTATATCTTTTACTCTCCCTGTTAATGCAGGCAAGTGTTGTTAAACTTTCTGTCGCTACGTAACAAGGATTCTTTTTCTCCAATTTCCGATAATGTTTTCCTCCCTTTTCTTTCAATCCACACTAGCAGCCTCTTCGAGGACTGTGAAATTTCTGTTAACCAGTCTCTCCCAGTGTTTTTTTAGGTTTTCACTAACTCTCTCCTCAAGGTTCTTTGGGCTTTGCTCACAAGTTTTTGGTTTTTGATATGACAATACCCTACTTTGGTAGGGATTTCTGGTAGCCAAATCTGTGTTAGTTATTTGTCATTATATAACAGATTACACCCAACCTTGGTTTAAAACAACAGTAAACATTTATGATCTCACATCGGCTCTATAGGTCAGAAATTCGGGAGTGTTAACTGCTGGTTGGTCTTGGTTTGGGGGTCTCTTGAGGTTGTGGTCAAGACGTTGGCCAGGGCTGCGCTTAGCTGAAGGTTTGGTGGATTCTGGAGGATCTTCTTCCAAAGTGGTTCCTATTCATGAATGATGAATCGACGCTGGCAGCCGAAAGAAGAGTCCTCACCACATGGGCTTCTTCATGTGACTCTTTGTGTGTCCTCACAACATAGTAGATAGCTCCCCCCAAAGTGGGCGATACAAGAGAGCAAGGCAGAAGCTGCAAGGTCTCTCATGCCCCAGCTTCTGAAGTCATGCTCCGTCATGTTTGCAGTATCCTAATGGATGCACAGGTCAGCCCTGTTCAGCGTGGGGGACTATACCGGAGTGTGCATACCAGGAGGCAAGAATCACTGGGCTCCATGTGGAGGTTGGCTGCATGTCTGATATGCCTGTTTCCAGCACAGACAACCCCAGTGGTTGGCATTTCACATCTCTTGGTCTCTGATGTACTAGGCTCTTCTGAGCGTTCACCCTTGTTATGTAAATACTGACAATGTTACTGTGAGGTGGGGATGTCACCCCACTTTGCTAATGATGAAATAGTTGAGCCTGGGTGTGACAGGGATCTGCCACCTATTGATCTGCCACTCAGCAGGCCCCCGTGAGGGCCTGAAAGTTGGGACTGAGGCCTAAGGATGCAAAAGTCAATGATGTTTTTGAGCAGCAGCTTATCCTTAGAGGGTTAGGCTTATCACATCTCCCTCTCTCTGCCAGCAAGTACGAAGCGGTGACTGGAAGGGGTACTCGGGCAAGCCCATCACGGACGTCATCAACATTGGCATTGGCGGCTCTGACCTGGTGAGGAGAGGACGGCCTTGGG